ATGACAACTTTGGAATTCTACTAGAAACAGTCGATCATATTTGTTGTCAAAGCTGAATTCAGGGCAAACTACGCTAAATTACCGTTTTTAGCTAACAGCTACAATAAGCATAACAGTTACTGTACGGCTATCTTTTGTTAACATGACGCTTGTTCTTATACATGTAATACATTTATTACCAACCTGAGAGTTTATCCGCTGGTCATTCGACATGACGAATGACTTCTGAAGTCTTAATTCAGCTCAAGATGCTGTAGATTCCCGTTGGTAACACTTTCGGTCCGCTCAGTTCTATTAATCTGCGCTTGAACCGGAACCGGGTGTAAGTTCCAAAAAACTGAATTTTGGAACTGAAATTGAATTGTAGAACTGAAACTGAATGGTGAGAAGTGAAACTGAAATTATTCGAGAGCTGAATTTTTAAAGGATAAAATGCAGTTTCAAAGCAAATCAATTCATTTTCAAAATATAAAATTCAATTTCAATTTAGTGATGATCATTTTCAAACCATAAATTCAATTTCAAATTAGACTAATTCAAATTCAGTTTTCAAAAGCATTTATTCAAGTTACAATTCAGATTCAATCTGAGCAATTCAAATTCAAATTGAACTTATTCAAATTCAGTTTCTGATGGCACAGATTTCTGCCCATATTGGGGCCAGATCTGCACAGCAGACTCCTCTCGGGATACCCGACTATTAGCACTGGTGCAGAGTTTTAGAACCTTTCGGTTTCATCCCACAGGGACTCCTGTGATCTAGTTTATGCTGTCCTACTGAAACTGCTTTTTATAGACCCAGCCACAAGAGCACCAGCTTAGAGGATGGTCTTTGGGGAGCAGACCCATATCAGCCCATCTGCATCCAGACTGCAATGGAGGAGAGTGCTGAGCTAACACACACATATTTGAACTCATTCAAAAACATGCAAAGTCAACACTTATCAGTGACTCAGTACTATATTGGCGTTACACCTGGGTACTATAGTGCTTTGTATCCTGTTAAACTTGGCAAGGTTATTTATATACACATGAAAAAAAATCTGTTGCACAGGTACACTTCATGTAAGAGCACAGCTTTAGCTGTAACCTCCTTATCTCCTCAATACTATGTGAGAAAAGTGCTTTTTTTTTTTAAAGAAAAGGTCACTTCAAAGAGGAAGTGGTTACGCTGTGTGCTAGCTCACGCACAGTCTATTCAGGTTTGCATAAACCAAATAAAATTATTTAAATTGTGAGAACATGGCTGTATGAGAAAGGGTAACTGCTGGGTGATAGTCTGACTTCATTCTCTTGACATTATCCTGAGTTCATATTTGAAAACAGCTTATAGAAACACCGGTACAAATAATTACGTTTAGCCTTCTGTTTGTATCTGCCACACAGTGCATTTGCAGGACATTAATCAAATTCAGCTTCAGATAAACTGAAACACCTTTATACGCTATGATCTATGAGCCAGTATTTTTATTGAGACAAAGCTCTTTGTGAAACCTAGTGGGGTGCTGCTGGCTCTTAGGGGAAGCCTGCAGGCATACACCTGTGGAGCTGCTGAAATGCCACTGCAGACGCCTGCTTAGAGTCCCTGAGTGAAAGTCCATTGCAGCTTGACTGATCTTGGTACAAAAACAATTGCTGCCAGTGGTGGAGTGTTGAGGAGATTGGGGGCAGGGGGTTTAGAAAAGCAGTGAAGGGAGGGGATAGAGGGATAAAGCGCTGGAGTAATCTCACATGCTTTGCCCTAGTGTTGCCATAAATGAGGAAGTCACATATGATATTATGTAACTCAGAGTGGAGTGGGTTTTAAGGTTGGAAAATTACTAGAGTCAATATGTATGCTTATGCATTGCCAGCATCACAAAACAACAGCAGGTCACCACCGCCACCACTGTCGGCATCACTTTGTGTACGTAAATGTGACAAATGTTTATAAACACTGTGATTTTTTTTCATTACATGCATTGCAAACTGTGCCTCATGCTATAGGAGGTCTTCTGTTGTGTCGTGACATTTCATGAGACCACCATGCTGAGTGTTTAGATGACGAGCCCTTGGATAACAACCATTTACACACACACACAAACACATGCACGCTGAGCACGAGAGCAGTTACTGGTAACTAGATCATCATATTATGCTTCACAGTGAAGTCACAGAGCAGTGAAGTTATCCCATTCAGTCATTTTATTGAGTGTGCATCAAGACATATCCTGTTTATCTCATCATTCCTACCTTAATCACCATTTGAGCAAATCTTTTCTTGAAGGAGCTGCCTCTTTCAGGGACAGTTATTGAGGTTAAAACTTTGGGGATCCTGATCTGGAGTTTAGAAAATATAATAATATAATACACCTTTCTCTTTGGCTTGGCCTTTCTCTTTTGTAAAAATAAGCTCACATCACAGTAAAGAAACCAAAAAACAGGAGTGGGAACTAACAAAATATAACAAAGTAGTGGAAACATCCATTGCAGTCTTCCAAGATATTCTAATGGCTTACTTTAAATATGTCTTAAAAAACAGAAAATCTGAAAATATCCACTACTAATGATCTACTTTCCAATCCTTTTTTGTTGTTGGTATTTTTGTATAAAGATTGATATGGCAGTCAAAAATTAACAAGCAGCTAATTGAATAATCAAGTAATTACAGTTAATAACCAAGAATCTGTTTGCAGAACCATCCGTATACCTTCCTGCTGGCCCTCCAATCTCAGTATAATCTAATAAATATATCACACAAATACACAAGCATACCAATAATCTGCTGGACTTGAATACAGTCCTCGCTTACGTCCCCAGGACTCGGGCACAGGCTTGGTCATGTCAACATCTGGTATTTTCTCTCTGTCTCTTGTGGCTCTCGGTTTGAAGCACCTCAGGCTGCCCTGCAAGGCAGTTAGCAGGTGTCATGCAGGCAGAGCCAGCAGGGTTCTTATCAACGTGAAGCCCCAGGCCTCCACACCTAACCAGGGGAGACACAGGGAAAGCGGAGGTGGGGTCAAAGGATGCTCTGTGGATGTTTTCCTCTTACACATCTAATGACAAAAAAGGAAACGGTTGACAAACCAGCAAACAAAAACACACTAATATGAGTCTGGTTATGACAGACTGGTGTTGAAAAGGAGAGGCGAACAGTGGATGAAGTTAATGTCACTGTCAAGGAATGAAAATCAGGATGGATGTGGAAGTAAACAGGATAGAGGAAGCAACGGATCGAGCAAGGAGGAAATGAGAGGAGAATGAGAGAAAGACAGATAGTGTGAGAGATCCAGGGGAAGCAGGAAAGCCTGAAGTTGCGTGATGAGATTAAAATGTGTGTCTGGTGATATAAATAAGGGTGAAATCCATGCTTGATTACTCCATGTCTTTGAATTTGACAGAGGCAGATTTCCACCACGTGGGCCGTGGAAGCCTCTGCTTTGGCAACATGCGCCTCGTTGTGATGACGCACACGACAGAAGAGAAACAAACACAAACACAACTCTCCGTATGGAGCCAGACTACTTAACTATATTCCTGCGATGTTATGTGATATAGTAAACAGCAGCACATAGGTTCATGTCATGGGCAAGGTTGGCTTGCTCCACAGAGGACATCTTTCAGCACCTGATTTGCCTGACTAATACCACTGCTTTTACCTTTTTAAAATGTGTTTTATATATTTTTTAAACATTTTTCCATTTATTTTTTCCATTTTATTTTATGCATTTGGGAATTGTGTAGATTTGTAGAAAATGTGAGCCAAAGATCTGAGCTGTGCACGTACATTTTCTCTATAAAGGCCCCGACACGTTCTGCTTAGCAAGGGAAAAATACTCTGAAAAGTAATACTCCACCCCAAACTTATCTTTTGATTATCAAACAGTCACTTCCTGTTTGCTTCTTAAAGGTTTACAGTCTGTTCCAACATAGGAAACAGAGACTGTGAATGTGAGCTTCAGTGTAAATTTACTTCAGTCATTGCCAAGTTTTGTGCTGAAAAAGAGTAGGAAAACATGCACAGAAACAAGCCTGTCTAGGTGGAAATTAATCATTTCTTTTAAGACAAATCAAAAATTCTGGTTATTTTTCTGATTAAATCTTATTAAAAAAATAGTTTTAGAAGTTGTCCAATTATGTGCACCAGAATTCCAGGAGCTCAGTTTCAAATTGTCCATCGATATTTGCTTCATATATACTAACTGACTGACTGAGCTAAATGCACTTTTGTCTCTGTATACATGCAGGGCCCTGTGTTTTGTGCACTGGGTCAATGAGCCACATTGAGCACTTCTGGTGAGTGAATTTCCACAGACAGGCCATGATACTGTGGAGCTGTAGGCACAACTGTGCATTTGTTCCCAGGAACAGAGAGTTTGCTGTATACAGTGGCTCGTGCTGTAGAGGTGTAGCTCAGATCTGCACTTTGTCTGGCCCGTTCTGCTTTTAGGCTGTCAGCTACCTGAATTAGGCCTCCAAGAAGCAGTCATTCGGAGTGGAAAAGGAGCGAGTGGATGGGAGTGTCTCGGCTGATTGCTGTGGTTCATTTAATCCCTTTTCTATGGACTCTCTGTTTGGGAGACTTCATATTTGCATGTTTGGTGCACACAGGTGCCAAAACATGTTTGTGTAAATGTGAGGAGAACATTCATTTCAAATAAAGCCTTTGTCAAAAGAATAATTTTCTTCTGTTTCACACCACAGAATTCTCTTTGTTTACTCTGTCTTTAAAATCTGAGGTTTCTAAATGATTCTTCTATTGCACCTGACTGTTGCGTGTGCTCTGACGTGACCAGTACTGAACACTGAAAGTCACTGTTGGCTGCTGACCTGTCAAATAAATCTGAGGTAGGACTAATGAAGTCCTTGAGGGCCCAGCAATGCCCTTCACCAGCATAAACTGTCAACATAGGGATCCGTGTGATTGATATGGCTTTGTGCTGAGCATTATTAATAATATAGTGTTAGTCAGTTTTGTTATTCATTTATTTATGGCTGCCATTTGTGTTGTTTGTTCGCAGATCCGACGCCGGAGGCCAACACCCGCCACACTGTTCAGAGTAGCCGACCAGTCATCTCCTGAGGATGATCAGTCCACCCATCAGGTAAAGGTGAAGACAAAACACTTTTTTATATAAGTGTCTTTGTGCTCTCATCCATCCTCCTACATTAGATTTCAATCCTATTAACCACGTAACTACTTTACCTACAACATATAATTTACTTCATGCCATTATTTCACTGTCTAACAACATAATAATCCATTTTCCTTAATGACTCCACACACATTGAATCCTGTGTGTTGAGTTTGTGTTTAGCCACAGTTCAAACTCACCTTGAAATTTTAAAACTATTTGAGCACCAAGGTTAAAAAATATCTTGTTTACCTGATGTTGGTGAGATGAGGCTGAAAGCTTGAGTAAAATTCAGTGTAAGCAGGTTTGACGATAACACTTTTCACATTCTAGTGAAGATCCTGAAGATTAAGCATGGCACGAAGAGTTAAGAGAACTTGGGAAAACCAGCATGTAGTAGCATGTAGTGCTGACATTACTGAGTTGCAGACTGGACATCCAACAATTATACTGCATGCCTAGCCAATGTAAGATAATATAAGCAGGCACAATCATGACAAAACATGACACCTTGGGTTTAGAGATGTTAATGCTTGCATCAAAAACTGCAGTGTGTAAATAGCTGTTTGAAAATGCCATCCTTTATATTCTTAATGTTTTGGAACAAGGCTATTTTAAATTTGCATGCTTTTCCCCCGTTTTCCTCATGGTTATGTTTCTTCTAATGAAGAGGAACAGTTTGTCATTGCTCTCCAGTGTGTACCTACAAACTTCAAATCAGCTTCTGGCATGTTTGGAAGCCAAAATTCCCCCAAAACAACTTGAATAACTAAGGAGAGGCCTCCAGAGTTACCACAAGAACTAAAAAAAGATTGCATCAGTCATGTAGGAGATATTTTGCATGCATGTTATGACTTTAGATCCCAATGAGGAAGTTGGTGTTTTAACTGAAATTTCAAATTATGTAATAAAATAAATATAGTGAATAAAACTTCCGAGGTGCCGATGCTTTGAGGACAGACTGACGAAGAATGTCATGATTAGTGGCTCGCTCTTTCTCTTCACAGTGGGTTGTAGGAGAGAATGGAGTCCTCAAACCAAAACGAGTTAATCCAAATGTGTATCAGCCACCATCACTCAAAGGTTGGTACAAGCATTTGTGTTACAGGTGGTGGTTGTGTGTGTTGTGATTCATCCTTGTGTTTAAATCCTTTCTTTGTTTTACCGTGCTTCCCTGCAAGCATTTCTTACTTGCGTTCTAACGCCTTATAAAGGTGCATGTGACAGATGGGTGGATATGCAATAAAGGGGTTTCTTTTTTTTTCACTGCATGCGCGTGTGATATGCATAGTTGTGTTTCTGTTTGCTTCTGCCCTTATATTACACTCAGCAGCAGGGTCCATATATCTGTGTGTGACCAAAAGAGAAAGGGAGAAAGGGAGAGATTAGAGTGTGACAGCTGTAAGACACTGAGTGAGAGTCTAGGAAAGTCTGGATCATCCAGGATTACAGTCAGTTGTGTATACAGCTGTGGCGCACACGAACACACACATATAGGTGTGATTAAAATGCATACATGAACACAGACGTGCATTTTTCTATTGTGTCTTTGTTGCATGTGGTCAATAAGGAAGGTAAGTTTGTCCGTGGGGTTTCTTTTACTTTGGATTTGTGGGTGTGCGCTGCCACATGTCGAGTGATGATATAATGAGCCAGGAAGCCTTGTTCTGCATCTCAAATCTGCCCTTTATCAGCTCAGACGCAGAGTGAAAGAGAGAACTAACTCTATTATTTCTATTTGCATAACCTATCTCAAGCTAAAAACTAACCTGCCTTAGTGCTGCTGCCGCACTGTGTAAGTGAGGGTGTGAAAAAATGATAGAGAGAGAAGCCAAGGTGACCTAGAGGAAGCGAGAGAGTGGCTGAGATAATATCACTAAAGAGAGTGAACGGAGAGAGAGAAGAGGATGAGTCAGTATTGCCAAAAGATAGCGCTGGGGAGGGTGGGCAGTCGAGTAGGGTGCAAATAAACAGATGGGAAAACAGGGTGAGAGGAGAGCTAGAAAACAACAGCGGAAGCTCTACTGTAAAAATCAGTGCGGGATACCGTTTTGTAGCTGCCTGCCTGCCTGTCTGCCTGTCTGTCAGTGCATGTGTATAACTGGCCTTCTGCCTGCCTGGCATGCATTCAAAAACCCCTGTGAGGCTTGACAAAAACTGACAGAGTTGAAGTGTGGTGAAACCAAAACAACATATCCCTCTATCCCTGTGTCTGTGTCCATGTGTTTGTGTGGCTGTCCCTGTGTGTGTTTACCTGTGTGTAGCTGTGCAGAAGATGGCTGAAGCGCATATGCAGAAACTAGGTGTCTACCCTCCCTTGGAAGACCCTTGTGAAGGGGAGGAGGATGAGGACTACTTGAAGGGAGAGGAGGGAGAGGATGCAGCTCCCACCAAAGCTGCTGGTGAGAGGGAGGCTCTCTTTCAACTGTCAGGGAGCACAGTAACAACACTGTTACAGCGATGTTTGTTTCTCAAAGCCAAAATACACTTTGAGGGACTTAAAGCTGTTAATTTTATGGGTCTTGTTTGGTTGGGTCATTGGATTTTTTACTAGGATAAATGGTTTAGTGTCATGCAGTAATCGATTGGTTGCATTCTGATATCACCAGTTAAATTAGCAGCTAGTTGGTAATTATTTCAAAGTGACTGGAGAAAAAATTGTGCTCAAAAAAACTTGAAAAACTGGAAAAGTTTGCACATTAAGATTTAAAATCACAATCTCATATGAGAAGCTTATACACTGAAAATCACAAAATATCACTTTTTAACTAGTCCAAAGGTGTATTTTTCCTTCTAGTTTGTATGTATAGCCAAGTTGTTCCCATTTCTGTACATTTTCCCTAATGATGTTTTTCAGTTATTTGCAATTTCAAGATGAAATTTTCTCATACAGGACACCGTTGTAGCTTTTCGCTCCCTAATAGGAGTTCTCCCCTTTGGAGGTGGTTGTTGATCCTTTATTGATCACATGAGCCATCACATGACTTCTTCACCTAGCTTCCACAAACAGATTTAGATGACCGTATAAGGAAATCATCTCAGCACAGATTTAGGGTACACCTGTTTAATTACTCGTTGACAGACAAACCCATAGCAGCAAACCAATACATTTAGCCATGTCGACATGGTCAAGATGACCAGCTGAAGTTCAAAGTTTATTTTGGTCACTTTAAATGTGACATGGTTGTTGTTCTGAGTGAAGCTGCTCCGAGTATTTAGGAAATTCCTGGGATTTTCTCCACACAGCCATCTGTGGGGTTTACAGAGAATGGTGTGGAAAAGAAAAAAATAAGCGAGCAACAGTTCTCTCTGTGAAAACACGTTGTTGATGCCAGAGGTTAGAGGAGAATGCCCAGACTGCATTCTCTCTTGATTTCTGTTGCAACATATGGATAGTAAGTTTGAGAATTTGGCATAAACAACATGAAACTATGGCCCCATCTGACCTCTGGCCTCAGATTGTTGATGGTGATGTAATGATGTGGAGATTTTCTTAGCACACTTTGGGGCCCTTAGTACCAACTAAGCCTCATTTAAACACCACAGCCTAGTTAAGTATTGTTGCTGACCATTTCCATTATGACCACATTGTACTGCATCAAGCAGGATAACACACCATATCACAAAGCTTAAATTATCTTAAGCTGTTTTCTAACTGTGTAATGCTTTCATGTCCATATGAAGTCTTTGAAGAATGTTTGTAGCACCTTGTTGAACATATGCCATGAACAGTTAATGCAATTCTGAAGGTAAAAGCAGGTACAACTGTGTAATAGCAAGGTATAACTAACAAAGTGTCTAGTGAGGGACTATTATATGCAGTTTAAGATAACTGAAAGAAAAATCAGGCACAAACAAAAGAAAAATAGCAAACCACAGTAAGATTACATTTTTGTGCTTCTTAGTAAACAATTGCTCTGCGGTTTTCAGCATCTGGAAGCCCCTTGTGTGCTGAGCAGCTGGTACAGCTCTTGTGCTACATTATCCCTCCATCTCTTAACCCAAATGTATTGGAAGTCTTGATGTGTCACCAACACCTATCCCAGTGCAAGAGGCCAGCCAGGATGTGCATCTGTGCAAATTTTAATCTCTGCCAAAAGAAAAACAAACAAATCTACATATCTCTTTGATTTAAACTTTTTTATATATGTGCATTTTCTTATTTTGCATAATAATCAGATTTATGTGCGCTGTGTGTTTGGTTTTATGATGCCAAATTATAGGTTTATAATCCCCATAAAGTCACACGAGAGCAGTGGCATTTCATTCAGAATTATTGCTCTGTCGGCCCAGATGACAGACTCTCTCGGTAAATCCCTTTGTGGAAGCCTGCTGAAACACAAAGTACCCAAACAGGATGCTAAAATATACTGATTGGGCTTTTTTGATGACAATTCATCTGTTCTTTCAGTCAAGCGACACAGTTCGGACTCGGCCTATCCTATAACAAACAGAAGACAAACCAAGGAACTCAAGTTATTTCATCAGGTAGCTGTTCATCATTTTCAGGAATGAACACAATCTCCTTTTCAGTGCGTCTGAAATACTAAGTGAGTTTGCAGTTTAGAAAAGACATAGAATAAGAATAAAGAAATAAAGTGAAACTATAAAGCTTCTTTTTAAAATGTTCTCACTACTAAATTAATTAACCAAGAGCACAAAACAGTGCAAAAGTCATGGGGTTTCAGATACCTGAAGCAGGAAATTGCTTAAAAAGCTTTAGCTCTAGAGTCAGTACTTGTGTCCTTCTGCCCAGCAGGCATCTCTTTTACCAGAATTTACTTTACCATTCCTTATTAAATTTGTGACACAATGGTATGGTATTGTAATGGTATCTACAGTTAGATATAAGCAAAGGTAGTTGTGATTTTTTTTTACTGCTGGTTTTGATACCAGTCTTTGCCTCCTCAGATCGCCAAGAGACAGCTGCCACTGAGCAGTCAGACAAGTTTTCCAGCGTGAGAGAGACGGCCAAGCAGATACAACCAGCACAGGAGGAAGATGAGGAGGAAGAAGACATGAAGGGGGACAAAACTGAAGCCATGACAGAGGAGAACAGTTGTGGGAGTAACTGAGAGAGAAAGATAGCGCGGGGAGAACGTTTGAAGGGAAGATGTGGGGAGACTCATGGTGGTTAAAATCTGAAGAACTCAGAAAAATCAAGAAATGGGTTGTGTGTCTTTTTAAATGTGTGTAGTCTGAATACACAGATGAGATGACAGCTGTCAGTAAACTGAGCGATGGATTCTTTCGTGACCTTAAACATGTGAGAAAAGGTTCTTGTAATACTTCACCTCGAAAGGGTGGTTTTGAAAACGAGGACGAAGAGGGAGTTTTTGTATTAGTCAGCCTTTATGAGCAGGTGAGGAGTGATTTACTGACAGAGCAGACTACAGATGCTACTTTGGCCCTGGTGTCCTTTTGTTTATAATGACAGTGGAAGGGCCAAGGTCAGCGTGACCAAAAACCCTGCAAGACCAGACCTTCAAAGAAGGCTAAAATGGCCACAAGGAATACAAAGTTGACATTATCTTTCTCGGGTACATTTGATTAAAAAAAACAAACAAAAACAAACTGTCCTGTATTACCCTTTGTAAAAACACTTGAAGGTCTTTAAATGTGTGCGGTACGTGTTCCATTTTACTTTGAAACCACAGCCTACATCGTTTGTTTTTTGATTTACAGCACCCTCAGTGTTTAGTTCTTTGTGTGTGCTGCCATCTTGTGGTAAAAAATACAAATGACAGGTTAAAGTGCTACTGCGGCTACTTAAAGTTAAAATCCATAATTCAAATTCTGTTTTGATGCGATTTATATTCTGCATTTTCAACAACAGCCTTTTAATTTTGCTGTATCTGAGCTTCATGTTGCCAAATCTTTGATCTTATTGATTATATCTTTAGCCTCTTGGAAGCTTGAATGGCGGTTGTTGCCAGTGTTATTTGTCACTGACAACAACAGAAGTCTTCAGCTTTCATTAAAATCATCAATTATTTCATTTCTATATAATAATCTACTTTTATTCTTGCTCTTTATGCTCAGCATTTACCAAACAGTCATGCTGTAGTCACTGAGTTTACGTTAAAACAATTTGCAATTTGTTCATGCTTAGATCAATGTATGACTCTTTTAGTTCAAAAATCTTTATCTGAAATTATATGAACTCTGCATTTAGCCTTGTTTTTTTTCTTTTAAACCTAAATTTAAAATCAGTCTGTGAAGCTACCTCCTATTTTTCAAAAACACCCATTTGCTGCCTCTGTGCATGGCACATTTGAACGGGATTCTTCAGAAACTTATTGGGGAAATTTAAAAAAATTAATTGAAAAATATTTTCATTTCTAATCTAGGATATCTCCCTTTTGTATGCTGACACTTTTGTAATGTTAGCTTTTTCTCATTCCCTAATCGTCTGTTGAAAGAGATATTTTTCTAATCCAAAATCCAGTTTATGGGGAGCACTGCTTAGCACTATCCTGCTTCTGTTACCTATATCCAAATACACAAATGAACCACAACAACTACTGTGCGACTGACATTTGGTAGACTTCCTTCAGCAACGAATTCAACTTTGTTTAACTGACAAAGCAAACCTAATGATAAAATTTCTAGTTGTGCCACAGGATGAATAAATCTCGCTGTTTCTATCATCTAGGCTGCTGTTTGTAAATAAAACTTTGTGAGACTTTTTCAACCTGTGACCTGCCTAAATTGTGGGATGACTGGATGAGCAGGTTATGTGTGCTGAGGCTCTTCAGCCAATAATGTCCTCCCTCCTTCTTTATAACCACCCCCCTCCTCATCCCAGGTCAGAAGAAACAATCGTGGAAAGACATGTACGAATGCTTAATCTGTGTTTATTTTTCTTTTTTTCCATTCTGTTGTTTCTCAATGTGATGTGGTTGTTTTGAAGTGAGCAACTGTATGATATCGAAATAAACAATTTTTCCTTTCTCTTTTAATCCAACCTAAATCTTACTTAAATCTTACGTCTGACATTTTTGCTTGGGAATTCTTTTAGATCTTTTTAATTGCATGTTTTTTAGACCCCTCCTACATTCACTGCTCTCTATCGAATTTATCCTTGAATCAGTTATGGACTGTCAGGAACTGCAAGTAGAGGATCCAGGTGCAGACACAAGACGGCAGAGGTTAAATCAAAAACACACCGTTAATTAAGACCTTTGGTTAAGGCCAAATCTAAAGTAGTGATTCAACTGATTCTTAAAATAGGTAGGGAAAAAAAACAGACACTATGACAAAGACTAAGGAGCAGGGTAGGGCTATTTATACACATGGGGTTAATCAACGACTGTGAAAGCAGAAAGGCAAGGAGACATAGCTGAATTCAACTGAGAAAATCAGACAACAAGAGAGACATAAAGACAGTCACAAGACACATATACACACAGTTTAGGAGTAAGATTTTTCCCTGGTTCCCAGAGAAGACTGATTCATAAAATAATTATTTTTTTAAGCTTTACTTTAACTTCACTTTCATGTAAAATTGGGAAGCTAATGGGCTTAACAGAATTTTTTAATTATTTTACAATTTACAGGCTGGGTAAACTCCATTCAATTTATTTTTTAACAAATGTCACAGTTTATTTCATCAAAACAGTTTCCTTTTATCTTTAACAATGTCCACATTATTATTACATTACACCAGGGATGTCAAATTCACTTTACACCGTGAGCCCAGTTTGATCTGAACTGGGCCAGAGGAGTGGCATTCTCATAAGAAACAAATTAACAACTTCCACAGAACATCTCTATCTATGTGATAAAGACATGGTGTTGTAGAAACAAAAAGAAATCTCAGTACAACTCTTGGGACTTGAATAGTAATAAAGAAATGTGTCAAATTAAGGAAAATCTTCAGGCAGCTGACTCATAATCCTGTAATTATAAAACACAAGGCTTTTGTTAATTTTCATGTCCTTTTATTTGTTATTGTGTATCCTCAAAATTTCTACAGTAGAGTATGAAAAAAAAAACCCCCAGGAACTTTTCTGTCATTTATTTTTTTGTAGCATGAATGGCCCATGGGAGAGGTCTTTATTAGTAAAGATGAAGCTATAAAACCTATGAAAATACAGATAAAAGTGCAAAATTATAACCTTCATTTTTTCCAAAGCTGTCCAATAGGGGTGTATTAAAGTCATTGCCAGGCCGATTTTTGGGTCCTGGGCCTTATTTTCTATTATTATTTTATTTTATGATGTTATATTATATTTTACTAAAAGAGTTAGGTCATTATTATCCACATTGCCTTCATTTCGATATAAGAGCTACTAAAACAAACAGTACAAGAAAGAAGAACTCCTAAATCTAAAAATTTATTTTAAATAATATAATTTTTTTGCGGTATATAGTCTTCATGCAACACCTTCTTAAAGTATGTGCCAAATATTTCTTTCAGTCATTCCTTCATTCATTTGCACTCCAGTTCTTTCATTTGTTGGCATTCCCCACCCCTTAAGCAAAGGGCAGAAAACAATAATGAGCCAGAGCTAAAAATAACTAGACCATTCATTATTTACACGTTGGCTTACTTGAGCTTTAAACTAATGGAGTTAAAGACCAATAAGTAAGTAAATACATAAATCAATACTTCCTTATAATTTTCTCTGGCTGTTTCAAACCCATTTTGCTTGCTCATTTGTTGTTGTTGGTGGTTGAAATATTTTGTATCCCATGTATTGTAATGAGTTAGGCTCGCATTACCAAATACTGTTTCAATGTTCCAACTAGACCTCATCTTTTGTTCCAGCAATACTACATTAGCAAGTGGAGATAATTATAACTAACATTGATTTTATAAAGAGGTTTCAAAAAATACATCAAATTCGTCTTAAATAAAAGACCAAAAGGGGCAGTGTAGGTCCAGATAGATAACCTAAAACTTTATATGACAGTCCAACTACATTGTATACCAATATTTTTTTTTTAAACGGCAAAACAGCATTATTAATCTCATCTAAACCGTAAAAGAGGAACAATGTAAATACTTAATTTTGTATTGTGAGTTTCGATTGCATATTTCATATGCTGCATGTGTACGTGTTGGCGTAAATAAGTACCACTTTCGATTTCGAACGAAACCGGAAATACGTTACGGGTTATTCTCTGGCATCCTTTGACGGAGTCTGCTCTGGTCACTTGATTAGTTTCGGAGTTGTTGATTCAACTTTAATCCAAATTTGCACACCAGTCTAAATACAATTTTTAGATAAAGATTAGCACGAATGCATGTGTAAGAGTTATTCAAGGAGGATAAAGATTTTTACCGACCAAATGGTAAGTTTGTTTTGGTCTGAAAATTAGTTTTCTGCCCATTTAAACCTTTCAGTGTTACAGATGAGCGAAGTGCCCATACGATGGCACTCAAGAGTCTATTTAAATCTCACACAACTGACAAGTGACATTTCAGCGTATAATATTGTCAGATTAGTCGCAAGCTCGACCGATTGTGGAATAATCATGCCAACTGGTAGTCCGTTATAAAATATAGTAGTCACACTCATTAAAGTCTATGCCAAAAAGTGTTCCACTAATATTATTCCTTATGGTTATAGACTGGATACAGAGACATACAAGATCAATAAAAAGTGTAATGCAGTGTTTCAGTAACAAGACGATCTGGATTTTGCACATGGTCACTAAAAATCAAAAAGCCAAAACCACGGGCAAGAGCAGTACTAATAAAAAAAAAACATGCCTCTTTATATGATAGCTTGGTCGTGTATTGAAAATGCCAAATGACGGGAAAAAGAAAAACACACACACGAATACAAAAACCTAGGGTGAAACTTCAGCGTGTGGCAGGTGGCAGGGAGAGAGTTGCGATGGTGATCACGTGACACCCGGCGGGTGAGCGATTCATCTTGTTGTGATACTTCTTCTTTGGAAGGTCAGCCCGGAAGACTTCGTAAAGCGATGATGCTACTGTAAATCAAGTAAGTTCAATACCTTGAGTTTTCTTTATGAAATACTTAAAGAAGGATTTCTGCCCAGTTTCGCAGTGTTGCTTAGCGTGCCCGTTTTGTTACGTTTGAGGAGTGTATTTGTTTCTCCGTAAGTGAGACCAACTTGTTATCGAAGCGAACAGTGTAAGCTAAGCGGCAGCTAACAAAATTGGCTATTGGTTATCTCTTAATTATTCAGTCCGTGCTTTTCTAGAAGAAAGACTTGAGTCTAGCTATTGTTCCCTGACATTATTGCCTTCGTGTCTTGTGTTTGACAGTTTGACAGCGTTGAGTTAGCTTGCTAACAGGAATTAGCTCCCGGACCTTCAGGCTGTTTTGTTTTTGGCACAAGTGAACAGGCTAGGGGAGTCACGGGATCTTAACCTGACTTTAAACTCCGCTTTAGCGGTTTGTTAACTTAATTGATGTTCTTTCAGTTAATAGATAAGACATGCTTGATCACATCTACCTGTCAACGTGTACCGATGTTACGGAGTTTGTCCAGAGGTGATTGAAACTCACCTCCGGCTCAATAATGGCTCAGTGGTGTAATAAAACCCGCTGTCTTCCTGCTTCGTGGGAATTGTTCTCCCAGACTCTGATGTCACACCAGAAATGTCCCTCAGCTAATGATTCGTGACTACAGACTTGCTTTCAAGAAGTCACGTCACATGCTTTACGCAGTATTAACGTTGGAGTCGTTCATTTTAAAAAGCTTTTGGCGGAAGATCAGATATAACACTCATCGTTTAACACAAACACACAGGCTGTTTGTTCTTGTAAAATAAGGCAAAACTAGCAACGCTTGCTGTTTGTCTTCACCATAGGGAGGTGAAAGGAGATCACGAGACTCCACTGAAGGCTAGTTATCGTCTGCTGTTTTCACCAAAAAAAAACCCAAACAAAAACAACCCCAAAAACACAGTAGGTGGAGGTGGAAGAGTTAAAAATTTTAATATTTTATTGTTGGGAGTGACCAGAATGGACAAGATGAGAAATGAGTTCAGGTGGAGCGGTTTGGAGGCAAAGTAAGAGAGGCAAGGCTGAGAGGATTTGGACATGTGCAGAGGAGGGATAGTGGATATACTGAACTAAGGATGTTGAATATGGAGCTGGCAGACTAGAAGAGAAGAGCAAAACCACAAAGAAGATTTATGGTTGTAGTGAAAGAGGATATGTAGAGGGCAACCGCGACAGAGGAGGTGAGATGGAGGCAGATGATCTGCTTTGATGACCAATAGGGAGCAGCCGGAAGAAGAAGAAGAAGAAGAAGCAGCGCTAAACATGACAACCACACACTTATGTCTGTTTTGCTGCAGGTGGATTTTCCTGTGTCACAGCAGGAATGCATGGTGGAGCCTATGGGGAGCTCGGGGGCAGCCTCCCCGCCATCGCCTCCCTGAATGCTTCCTACTCTACATCGATGTCCATCCCATCCCCGTACCTGTTGACACCACCTGTAGAGCGCAAGAAGATCTCTGACGTGCGGCGCACTTTCTGTCTCTTTGTGACCTTCGACCTTCTCTTCATCACCCTTCTCTGGATTATTGAGCTTAACGTGAGTGTGTGCTTTCACTGTTCTTGTTGCTGTTGCAGAACTAATGGTTAATTCTTGGTTTGATGTGATCTCTGCCCTCTTCTTCTGCAGATCTCAAGCTCACTTTGGGAGAGTTTAGAGAACGAGGTCGTCCATTATAACTTCAAGTCATCCTTCTTTGACATTACTGTAAGTGGGTCAATCCAAATTTGTGTTTATTTGCATTCAGTGTTGAAATGATGGGTCATTTATTACCACGTTATTCTAATCATGCTTTGATCACAATGAGCAGTTACTTATGTGTAACCTGCTCTTGTAATTCCTCCTTTTGGGTTGGCAGACTGCATCATTATAGACACACAAGGGGAAATCATTTGCAACGTCAACATGTAATTAAAATGAAAGGTCATTTTCTTTTTCTGCTTCTTCTTCCTTGTCTCAGCTCCTTGCCTTGTTTCGTTTCCTGTGTCTTC